GTACCAATGATGTGTAATCTCTGGGACTGGGCCAAAGCTTTGATTCCCTCTTGTTTGCTCCTCGTGCTGCCTGAGTTAGTGTAGAAACACTTCAGGTGTAGTATTTTGTAGCCAACACCTGGTGAAGCAGAATGAGGGATCCCATTCGTGATTGTTTTCTCAAGTTTTGGCACAACACCCCATCACTCATCACTGGTGAGCCTGGTTTTGTCCCTTTCCCCCTTCCAAAGTAGTTTAAAGCTCTACAAGCTCTGCTAACTCCTGTGTACACTTAAAAAAATACAGACATATCTGTATCTATCTATATACCTAAATCTATAAAATGAGGAAGCGTTCTTTTCAGGACATCAGCTCTTTGCCACTGCTTGCCTGGAGTTTATATGGGAAATAGGGAGTTTTCTCAAGACCAGCTTTGTTGAGAGGTCACATCTCAAATTCTTGAGAAAAGAATTAAATGATCTGGTAAATGAAAATCTATTTCCATTATGTAATATAACAAAAAGTGGTTGCTAGTCCATTAGAATATATCTTATGCACTGCTATTACTTGTTTTTTAAATAACAAGAGTGTGTACCATCATAGGGATTTTAAAATAATGGTTCTTAAAACAGCTTTTTCCAGCAAACCAAATGTTGGATAAGTCATGCTGGAATAAAGGAAGGAGAGTCTGCTGTGAATCCCTGAGGTGTGTCACTTTAAAATAGTGCAGTGCACTCTGAGCAAATAAAACAATAGTAAATTAAAAGAGTTCAGCTGTTGTGGCTATTTATTCTACAGCAACTTCAGTTCAAGCCATGCGGGTAGTTTTTCTAACGCCTTAAATCAAACAGCAGGTATCTTGTGGCCTCAAGTTAAGAAATGCTAAACATCTGCCAGGTTCCAGAATTGAAACATTGCAGCTGCCTTACCTGAAGGAAATTTTACTGTTAAGAGTACCAGGAATCTCAGCAACACTATCATGTGGCATTTTGACTATGAAATACACCATTGTCACTTCACAAAATGTTGAACAATTCCCTCTTCCAAAGACTCTTTTTTAAGTATTTTGCAAAATATTTTATCGTATTTTTCAATTCCTTATACTAGACACAAAAATATGGCCACACACTATTCAGCTTTACTTCTTTAACAGACTTAAGACTTCTCTTGACAGCTGGCAGTATCAGTGTTTAGTTCAGCAATCCGTTTGTCCAAACTGTAATGACACTATTCTTGCTGATGTGTGCTTTGGCCAATGAGAAAGACCTACAGAATATAAACATGATGGAATAAACCTAAAACTCCCTCAAAACAAATATTTAATTTCTGAATGTTAATGGTCTGTTATGAGCACAAGCTATCCACTATCCAAGAGTTCTATCTTCCCTTCACCAGCACTCCAACTAAAGAGTACTTTTCACCATACTTATACGGCAACAAAACAAAGGTTTTGATTAGCACTGCCCAACTGAAAGAGCAGGTACAAGGCATGTTTAATTGCAAATTTTATTTTTTTATTTAATTTTTATTACTTGCAACTGATTGTCTCATTTCCATAATTTATTGTTCCCCATACAATTCTCTACTATATTTCCCCAGTTCGCAAATTCTGCTTCCAAAGTTAAAAGTCTTGCTACATTTTACATCCCTCATTCATCTCCAAGAGCAACGTGAATTTGGCAGGCTGCAATGCATACTGCAATGAAAACCTTGGAAGCTACTCTCCTGTGATCAATCAAGATATGCTTGAATTTTAGAATATCAGGAATAGTGTTGAAGTCAATAGGATTACCATGGGTCATGTTACAGTATGTTGTGCTTGTTACATACTCCTGTGAGGCATTATAATCTTCAAAATCTGCCTTGAAGATCCTTCTCAGGGGCAGAAAGAGTTGTGAAGACGTAAGAAGCACATTTTATCCTTACAAGGGAAATTCATTAATAAGCCTCAGTCTTGATAATCTTGGAGGTCATTTCCAACCTTGATAATTCTATGATTCTATGATCATACGTGAACATCAACAACAAGGATATTAATCTTTGAAAATCATTCTTTTTTAAAACAATGCCTACTATTCCCAGGAATATTAATTAGGATTTTATTTTGTAACCACCAATGTTTTTCTCATTCCAGTGTTAACTTGAGATGGACTTTGAGTTAACTAATAAACAGTCTACTTAAATTATTAGTGCTGCTAAGATGCTAGTAGTTAATGGTTTTAATTTAGCCATGTAAGTTTGTTCAGGAGTGCAGGACCTCAGACTAAAAGCTTTGCAAACTTTCGATAAAATACAGATAGTACCACTTATTCTGTTTACTAAGTAATATGATTCACCTAGACTAGAAGTCTGATGTGTTTTCAGAAGTACCATTTGGAAAAGCATTAGCATATTTTAACATGTATAGGGTGAAAGCAACAAATCACTTCTTTCCTCTGGGCCTTTCAATTCAGCAGCAGATTATGGCCATGCATACTTAATACTGGGTCAAATTCAACTCTACCTCAGTAGCCCTCTGCCTCTGATGTTTGGCTCATTATCTCAGGACTTATTTTCAAGTACTGTACAATTAAATAAGTGTGGGGGATCTGTCATACAGTGATTATGAGAAAATATAGAAATGCAATCTTTAGGGCCTCACTGCATGAAATGCTGAATATCCTCAATTTCCTTTGGCTCCTCTCTGAGGCCCTAATGACAAAGAAGACTAAGCAAGAGGGGATTAAAAAATATAATAGGTAAAATGCCTGTGATCTGGAAAACACACATATATTTTTATTATTTTAAAGGACCTTAGTGTCTTTGAAGCTGTGAAAGGGAAATCTTAAATAAGAATTTGATCCCTCAAAGCACTTGATCTCTTTCTGCTCCTCTGATTTTCATCACGAGCAGTTAACACCTCACAGGAACTGTTACTATCTTGTTGAGCCATATATTTAGTGCACAATGGTGACATATTTCTTAGCATCTGTGACTTCCTGTGAACAAGTGATGATTAAGAGAACAATGTTTGTAATTTCTCTACAGGAAGCTCCAGTGAAAAGGGAAAAGGTAATATACTGAGGCTGTGGTTCCACAACCCCGATCAGCTAAAAATTGCCCTCATGGCCACATCCTTCTTCTCCTCCTGCATTTCTTTGTCTTTCCCTTGAGCTGGGCCTGACGCTTAGCCCAATCACTTGCTGGGATGTTGGCACATTAAGATGCCAGAAAATTATTTTCTTTTGGCTTTGGCTTGTTGGATTGGCTTTTCAGGGCAGGGAGGTGGATAAAGTTGAACTAGGAGATGCTTTGTTTATGATCCCAGTTAGTAAGGTGCTCAGATTCTATGAAGCATCTCTTAAGATCCTGGTTTTTTTTGAGACCACACTAAAAAGAAAATAAAGATAGCATAGATAATCATATGATCCTTCAGATGCTGGGACCCCCAAGCTGTGTAGCACTGAATGGACCTCTAACCATAGCCCAGCATAACCAGCAGATCCCATCCATGGAAAAGTTACCCCATTCTGGTCACTGGAACTCTTACAGGATTTTCCCAAAGAAGCCAACTATATTCCTCATTCCTACTGTCAAACAGAAAGGACGTTCACCTGAGAACTTCTTGCTGCACTGGTTAATAAAGGTGAGGCCAGGCAGGGGGTGTAATCACCTGTACCAAGCAGGAGCTGCCTGCAGGTTCCCCTGTTCCAAGGAGCTGGTTGATTTTCTTCTGCGGTAAGGCATCTACGTGGCACGAGCCAACAGGCTGCACATGCAGCACAAGACAGCACAGCAGTGTTTAATTAAAGGTGGGAGAACATTTTCAACAAACTTAGTCTTTGATTTAAAAACGTGTTTCTTGTTTGTTTTGTACACTTGTACTTATGTAAACTAAAGGGTTTTCTATTCTTCTCTCAGTTAAGAAAAGTGATGCCTAACTGCATAATGTTTATAATCACTACAGCATTTCTTAAATTAAATTACTGAAATGTAAATTTCAGAATAGAATAAAAATTATTCCATTATTGAGATATTTTTAGTGAAGTAGGACAGAGAAATGTATGACTATATTTATCATAGAATGATAGAATAATTTCATCTAGAAGTACCCTGGAAGGTACCTGATCTATATCATGCTCTGAGAAGTCACAATGAAGAAAAGACTCCCAGGCTGTGCTTTCGTACTCAGTTACAGGTGCCACCAAGATAATTACTGGACAGTAATTATCAGTGTTACAGAAAGAAGTTTGAAGGGTTCTTCTCCAAAATTGATTATGTTCTAAGAATGACCAAAGGTGAGGCAAATACAAAAAAAAAAAAAAAAAAAAAAAAAAACATCTGAGACAAAGATATGAAATCACATATATGTAAGACCTCAGCATGAGGTTTGTTTCTCCAGGAAGCAACAATAAAGTACCCTTCTTATTAGTCTTCCTCCCAGTCATTACCCAACTCTTCATATTTTAGTTTAAAATGTGTGCAAATACATATTTCATTCAATTCTGAGACTTTTGTTGTGAAGTTCATTAAGTTTGTAACACAGTTCTGTTGCTCTGCTAAAATAGCAAAATTTCAAGATCAAATTCAGACTGAGCCTCCAGACATCTGGCAAACAGCTAAGCCATCTAAGAATATGGCTTTTACACCAGAACAGCTACATTTGATTGTTGTTCACATCAAAAGTCCTCTGAAACTGCTAAGTAAAACTAATAGTATTTATTCACATTAGGAATTTTGCCTTTAAACATCTGTCGAATAAAAAATGGGAAGACTCTGCTTAGGGATATTTTTCCTCTCTATGGACATCTATTACTCTCAGTCTTCTGGTGTACAGCCATAATCTCTAAAAATAACTTCAACTGCCAAATTTTCACAATGGATTAAACTTAGTGAATGTATTAAACATCTTTATATGTGACTGTGCAGAGCATACTTTTTAAATTTTTTTGCCATCTTAGAAACATTACAGCGTACTTCCTACACCTTCTTCTTGGACTTTGCAGGTTCATCATCTTCGTGTATTCCAGCTGATAATCTCTTTATTTCCCTTTAGACTTTTCTTTTTCTCCTTTTCTATTCCCTTCCACATCTTCTTGGCTCTGCTGTCAAAATAGATATACAGAACATTTTGTGCATAATTTAGTAGAGTAAAACTACATGCTCTTTCAGAAACATTTTAAGAAGTAAAAACGAGATAGAGGTTCTAATCTCTGCTTTCAAGACAGTTTTAAAATGCATTAATGTTCCTTAGAGTGTCTTGTGAATGTTTTGTAGCCTTAGTCCTTTCATGAATTTGGATGTCAGGTAATCATCATTCAGCCATTGCTGATGTTTCATAAACAATACAGCAGAGAAACAAAAAGGCCACACTCGTATAGTCTCTACTGTGTTTGTCCAGTGCTAGGATCCAAAACCTGCCTTTTGAAGTGCTCCACTATAAAGGCAGGTACACATTTTGATTTCATACCAGTACTATTGTAAAAAAATTTAGAAATCACAAGGTAGTTACAGAGGCAAAAGTACATGTCTGCAAACAAACAAAACTACTCTTTCAGTCTGCTTAACATTGATTAGAATCTTGCAAGTTTTGACTGGGCAAGTCTTACAAGCACTTTAATGTTTTCTAGGTGGGGAGAGATATGTCACTTCTCCTAAAAATACCGAATTGTAACCATTTCTCTCAGTTACCTGAGAGGTTGTTTTAAACTTAGAGATGGGTTTTGCTTGTGGATTTCTTTTTCTCCAAGCTGGTGAATTAGAAGATCCTGAAGTATATTTGCCTGTAGGGAAAAACATACATGTTGTTTCTTAATTTCAGACACAATTTCAGGAAAGACTCTTGTAGTGTGATATGTGAATTAAATATTTCATTAGCTGAAATATCAATGAATGCATCAGGTGAATCATATATCACCTCTGAAACATAAGCTATTATTAAAGACAGACTCTCTCTCTAATACTTTAAAGATCATTTGTAATATTGCAGCATTTCCATGATGCTCACAGGATCTTCCAAATGAGTTGGTTCTGCCATGGACATTGCTAGTTTTAACAACGGGAATGTTCCTGTGCTGAAGATCTTCTCAAAGGCATCAATTGTTTCTAGATTAAACTAATCCATAATCCAACCTCCTGTTTATGAAAGCACCATAATATAGTGATGTTTTAGCACATATGTTTTAGCACAATATAGCACAAGGTTATATTATGGTTTTGTGCTACACCATAGATTGTGCCTCAGAGTCTGGTGCCTAGTCACAATTAATTTTCTAGAAAATTTGATTAAAAATTAATTGTATTAATATTAATTTAATAATAATATGAGTGAGTTCCATTTTAATTCAATAACTCAAATTATTAATTTAATAATTATCCTAAAATTTTCAGTTTATACACAACATGTAAGTATTACCATAGTTTTCTGTTTGTGTCCAAAATCTCCTATTGGTGTCAGGCTGATTCTTTTGTTTTGAGCATTTTTGACCATATGATTCAGGTACTGCTGGAAAGAAAGGCAGTAAAAATGTTAATAGCTGCTCTTATGACAAAAAAGTTGATTACTATTTATTCTGAAATGCTCTATCCTTTTTTAACCTGGAAATCTGATAAAATGCACTCTTCACATTAAGAATGTCCTCTCTCTATCTCTATACCAACCTGTTCACATTTAATGAAAGAAAACATTCAGAAAAAAACCAAAAAAAGACACAGATATTTGTCCTCAAGACTAAGGAGTGATGTTGGAATTCATTTCACTCAACTTTATTCCACTTAAAGTAGGCATTACTCTGAAGGAAGTTCCTGTTACTAGAAATTAAGACAGGAAGGCACCTCAAGATGGAGATTCAATACAGCTCAAAAGATGGCTGAAACTGGCAAGACAAAATCGCTTTCTTAACTTATGATTATTTAAATTATTTACCACTGAATTTGCTGACAAAGTAACAGATGAAAAAAATACAATTATTCAGGGAAACCGTGGACACAGAATGTAGAAAGGCAAATAATGCCCAAATGACGTACAAAGCTTCTATTAGAAACATAAAAAATAAAGTTGTAAAATCAGGGTTACATTCAAAACAGATTGCCAGACAGAAAGATGCAAGACTCAGAATCCCACCTGTAGGTTTCTTGTCAAATCAATGACATAGCATGTATCATCAAGAGGAGGGTAGAGTATTTCAAAGATGGAAAAAAAGATGAAGGAAATTATCATCCTGCATGAATGGCAGGAGGAAGGGATTCAGTCCTCTGTCCAACATAATTAATGTGAAAAATAATATTAATATAAATCACAAAAATTTCTACTTTATTCAAATAGGTAAGAGAAGTTTGAATAAGACCAAAACCCTTGTTTATTCAAGATGAAAAATAACCCTAAATAATGAAAATAAATAGAAATCCATAGCAATCAAAACTCTGGTGAAATCCTAGTTGTGGAATTATACTCTGTAAAGCAAGGTCATTTTTTCATAATTTACTGGGACAATAAAAGTTGAATAAGAAACATTTCTTGAGACAAAACATAAATTCTACTGCAAAATTACTTCTTCTATTATCAGTAGTTGGAATAAACTAAGAAGTTAAAAGTGGAGGTTTTTTAACCTTAATAAAGTTTACTAAATATTTGAAAAGAATAAATCACACAAAAGATGCTGTAAAAGTGGGGAACTGTATATTTCAGCACATCAATACATCACTGCATTCATGAATTCCTGCTGTGAAGGTGACTCAATTATTGTTTGTGGATTTTCTTTCTGACAAATTGTAAATAAATCTTTATAAATCTTTACATTTCTGTCTATGAATACAGTTGAGACCTATTTGTCAAAATTATGCTTAATCAAATTTACTCATACCTGTATTTAGGCATAAATAACATATTTACCTGCAGGGACACAACTGAATGCAGCACAATACAGTCAGGCATTTTAAGAATTTTGTGTAAGCAAGAGCCCACCTGTAGATCCATTGAACTTTGGTTTTTGAGTGACTGTACGATAGACTACATATGCTGATCGTCGAGGTTCTGGAGAATTTAAATTAGTGTATCTTCCAGTTTCTTTCCCATAAGGACTGGAAGGAGCAGTTTCATCATTCTTACTTTGACCTCTTTTTTGGTACCTTGGTTTTACTTTAGGGTCCAAAGTCTGAATTCCTAAAAGTGAAAATGCAAACAAAAAGTTGTGCTATAACTCAAAATTTGACATATTGCAGAGACTAGAGGCTAGACAACAAGATTAAAAAAATGTTCTTTGTGGATAGTTCAATCCAAATATGGACTGTCCACATCTGACACTAAGAACAGAAACTAACTAGTAGTGCTAAATCATCTCACAGTTGAGTAAATAGATATGAATAAACCAGCAGTTTCCTGCAAATACCTTTGCCAGTTACTGTATTAGCTGAATTCCTTGGCTCCTCAGAAATGCATTTATTTTCTTTTACTTCCTTACAGCGATGGTTCTTTACCAGCTCAGTGTGGTTTGTCTCTGACAAATTAAAAATAACACATATTTACTTTTTTAGAAAGTAGACAATATGTTGTTATCCAAAAGTGTTGTGGTGTTTTGAAAACATAATCTCCCACTTCATACATGGGTTGTCTTGGGTGGAACATGGTTTCGCATGTTAATTATTCTGTAAGTACCATTCACCAAAATGACTCTATTTTCTCTAGCAGAAGAAATCTTGAAAGCCAACTCAAAAATTAACTCTACAGCCAAAGACCAGATCATCTTTTCTCTACACTACATAGGTGATGTGTGGACCTCTAGAACACCCGTAGTTGAGCCCATGGAGACCACCCCATGCACACCAAAGGACTCCTGGTTGAACTATGAATGATTTCTGCCTGTAGCATCTAGGTACATCCTGAACATGGGCAGTACATGAACATAACAAAATACATAATGAGGAGAATAAAATAGCAATAGCATTTGTCACATACGTAAGCTCACTTCAAAGTACAAACAGAACTTCACAAGGAAAGTTTCAGTATAAATTAACCACAGTGCTCTTCTCCTAGTCCCTTCTATTCTTCAGGAAGATGTGGCTTTGTTCTTCCTTTTCTCCCAGTAATGTAAGTAAACACTTTCAGTTTCTCTCATTTCAGGCCAGAATGTGGCAGAAATTCTCTACTTTTTCTTTAGTTTATGGGGTAGATTAAAGAAAAAAATCTGTTGTTTTTTTTTTTTCTTTTTACTCTAAAACTACCAATAAATAACCAGGTAACAATCTACCTACAATAATCAAATTGATATATATTCTACATTGACAAATAAATTCTGAAATTCTTTGGGAAAAGAATGAAGCTTATGATCAAGGTACTTCAGTGTTTGTATTTTAATTTGCTGTTTGGGACTAGTTTTTAATAAGCACACTTTATCACAAGTGCAACTATATTTTTACTGGTTCTATTAAGTCCCATGTTCTGTGAGACGCCACCTACAGTGAAATCTGTTTTACTTGACAGAAGTGGAAAGTGCATCACGTGAGCATCAAAGATTTTAGTAACTCAGGGACTAATACTGCCCACACTGAATCTAACAGAGGATGTAAACTAGCTAAAAAAGCAGAACTGAACCATAGCATACAATGACTGCTGTAATCTTGAAGAGAAAGAAATCACACTGTTAATGGAAAATTTCACTTCAGATTGGTTTCACACAAAATATATACTGCCCACCACACTTACAGAGGAACAAAAATGATCTAATATAAAAATTTGAAAACATATAATAATGAAGTACCTTTCACATTGGAATACTTGGATGCAATTCGTTCTTTTTCCCAAGGTAATGTCTCAAATCTGTTCCCATCAACAAATGTGTTCCTCTGTGTCCCAGGACCACCACCTCCTGGAGGAAAGGAGTCTCAAAAAGTTATCTACACTCAGAAGCACCCTGAGAAAGGTGAACAGTGCAGAATCTGCTTTTTATATGGTATATTTTTAGTTGAAATCAATTAAAAAAGTTCAACCAACCAAACAGATAATTCAATAAGGCCTACAAAGTTAAACAAGAAAAAAAAGCTTTAAATATGTATAGGTGTGAACAGAGATTTAATTATTGAATTGTTTCCCACTGGTAACTGTTTATATCGACATAAAGAATGTTTAAAAGACACATTTGTATATAAAGGTCACATGTTTACTGTGCAATAAAATTCTGGAGCTACAAGACCCATACCAGTTTGCTCCAAGCTAGAGCAAGTAGCCCTGGCATGGTAGTGCATCGACAATATAAGGGGAAAAAAAGAATACTACAACAATTACTACTATTTTTACCACTAATAAATATTTATGAAGAAAATGGATTGAATACCACTAAGTACTAAGTAAATTCAAGGACAATGGAGAATTCTTCAGCTTTATTGACATGATTCAATAGTGAACTCAGTGGGTCAAAACACTGTGTCTTCATCAACATCAACCAAGCTTATGCAGAGGGATCGGATCCTGTTACACAAGATACAGGACTGCAGCTTTGTTATTTCTGTGTAGGAAAACTGAAAAACATATAGCTAGGGCTAGTCTCACAAATGTAACTGTTTTTGAAAACATTTTAACTTGTGTGCATCTCTACACTTGCTTTATTGTAACTCCATAGAATCCTTTCTTTCTCAAAATTAAGTATGAAAAAAATCAATTTAATCAGTTTAAAGGATTTTTTTCAGTATAATCCTAAAATAAGCATAATACATGATCATAAACAGTGGTTTTTGATTGTTATAAATAATGGTGCAGCAAGAGAAAGAGTGTCTAGAACATAAAGAACAAAGAATAACTCAAACGTAAAGTGGTGAAGTTTAATGCATGCATCTTTGGTTATTTTATTTACCACATGATGTTCAGCAATGACAAGCTGATGCTACAGTATATTACCTCCATTGTGAAAGGATCTATGATCCTTTCTGGGAGTACTCTCTATTGGTACTCTCCTTTCTGAACTCTCTTTCTCTTTTCTTGCATTATTACATTTTGTAGGAATTGTGTTACCATCACCTGAAAAGGCAACAGAAAGAATATTTAGCTGTGGGTAAGCCCAGGGAATGGTACTGACATTCTCCTTCTCCCACCTCTATGAGCCAGTGATTAGTGCAATTTCTCTTAACCTCTCATTTCATAACCTTCTTTCTCTTTTATTGTTTGTTTGGATCCTGTCTAGTGTAACTGATGCATAACTTTCATGTTCTCTAAAATAATATCATAATTCATAGGCTAAAGAAGACTATAGCATCAAAGTAAAGACCTAGCTATAAACTACCTGCTTATTCATGAGTTTCTCACTTTCCATGAATCATATTTTTGAATCCTTACTGAATGAATTTATGGCATTTTCAAGATGCATGTAATCAGAGCAGTTAAAGCCTCAGAAAACTGAAATGAAAAACTGCTTTGGGGAAACATGTCTATCCTTTTCTCCAAATGTGTCTAATGATAAATAAACACACTTCTTAAAAGCTATGTTTATGTATTTGTTATTGATTCCCTTATCTGTAGACTAAATGTATCTATATACTTGTTAGAAATAGCTTATCAAAACTACTTTAATAACAAACATTTTAAACTTAGAAAACAGAAGAAAATAATGAAGTAACATAGTAACTATGGTAAATATTTATGAATTTGTATTTATTTGACCTTAACTATGTAGGATAAAGCCCAGCATTTGAAACAAAATGGAACTCCTCTGTTCCTTTCTTATAAAAGGGGGTATTTACTTAATCTAAATTTAGTTATAGAAAAGTTTGCACTATCACTACATTTTGCCATCTAGACACCCAAGGCAGTCAGCAGAGAGTGTAGAGCACCTCTGGCAAAGTGACTCATCTCACCTTCCTTTGGCACATCTGATGATGTGGCCTACAATAGCCCCATAAGAGTTCCTGTCCCTCTCAACTTACAACAGAGAGCCTTGACGAGAAATTAAAACTACATTCCTAACATTAGGATGGTTAAAATTAGACAACATAAATCTTGATTGTGAAGAAAAATTATACGAAAGAGCTATGTTGTGCATGCAAGGAAAGTACACATTGGCTTAATAGCCCATTTCTACCTTTTCCCTTTACAATTGATGCAGGTAGTCACAAAAGAGCAACTATATATTTATCTATGTATCTAATCTATATCTATATATCTATATGGTAAAAATTAGTGAAGTGGTTTGGCTATATGCTTAGAAATACAAATATGTTCTTTGTAATGTTTTATTTTCACTAAATTTAAAAAGAGGGAAAGAGGTGCAAACTATGTAATAGGTTTGCCCTGTTACAGCCCTTTTAAAAGTGGTAAACACAGTTCAAGGAAATTAAAAGTACTTGCCTTTCTGCAAGTTTTGTTCAGCAGCTTCCAAGGGTAGTAGCTCATCTTGCCAAGGTGAAGACACAGCTTTTGTTGATTGGTGTTTGTGAGGGTTCTGAATCCCATAATACTCTCCTAAACATGCCCCAAGAGGGGGGGGGAAAGGCCCAAAGATTACTGTATTGGCAGCATTGCTGTTTGGAAAAGAGTGACTAATTTCATATTTACCAGATTTATAGCATATATCCCTTATTGCTCTTTCCTCTTCAATATCTGCAACAGTCTTGGGCCTCAAGTTAGAAACATCTGTAGGAAATATTTGCAAAAGATTACAAGATAACTATACAAATATCTTCAATATTTCTTAATAATCAAATACCATAATTACTTTCATTTCTGTCATTGGTTATTTTTGTTTCTGTCTGCAACCTCTGCTTCCAGACAAAAAAATGGCTCCTCAACATTAGGTATTTTCATGTACAGTGGAATTGCTGTTAAAGCATATATTAAGAAGCAAATGTTTGTTCATTTCAAACAATTCAAGAGCATCTCCAGTATTCATTTTCAAAATAATCCTTCATTTACACCCAAAAACCGAAAAGGAAATCTGATTCAAAATGTCACCAGAGAGTGCTTGTCACAAAACATCTGCCAAAAGTTACTATTCTATAATGTCTGCTAGCAGAGCTGGTGAAGTGAGTGCTCCTTAACTCTCTCAGTTAAGGCTCTGAAGATTACCAAAGCCCTGCCTTCTATATTGTTTGAGTTAATGTGGCATATTCAGACTGAAAACGTTAGGAAGCAGTACAGCAATTTGCTGAGTGCACACCTGAGAACAGGTCATTCTCTTACTTTTCACTCTCCAGGAAAGTGCAATTTGTTCCTTGCCTGTGAATCTCATATCTCTGAGATACAGTCAAACATTCAACTATATTAACATATATATATATATATATACACACATAAACATTCAGTCAAACTAGTGAAGAGTTTTACATGGATTCTCTTCACTAGATTTAAGAATAACTTCCTCTAAAAAAATTAGACTGCTTGTGGAGTTTAGTAAATCAGTTGATGAAATTATGTTGAACTCACACAACTATCTTTTGTAAAAAACCTTCACCTTCAGTGATGAGTGTGTACAGCCCTTGTTCAAAAATTTGTTTCCCAGAAAAGAAGTAACTTCTAAGCTTGTAATTTCATCCCAAACTTTTGATGAGTTTTTGATGGCCATCTGAATTGTGGATTGCATTTTAAACTTTATTTAATAAAAAAAAGGTATGTGAATTATACCACTATTGAAATATATACTAAAAAATACAAGGGAGTTAGAAAAAAATGTCTTGAACACATCTGGCAATAATCAGTTTCAACATTTTAAGGATTAGCTGAAAACTACTTGTCAACAACTCCTTTACAAAAATGTAGTGGTTATTATAATAAATCAGTTGTGAAGTGCATTGCAAGAGTTGACAAAAGCCATTTAACTTCCTTATAAAAGAAAGAAAAAAGACTGTATACTGTTCTCTTCATCTCCATCGTCCTCTTCATCATCCTCTTCATCACTGAGGTTTATAATCAATGGAGGATGAATTGGTAATAAAATATTCTCTTGATTTCTGAGTGAGTCTTGACGAAGGGCTGGAAACAGAATCCCTCCTTGGATATCCTGTTTTAATGGGACATCTGCAAACAAGAACATTAGACGTACTTTGTTAGGAGTGAACTACAATATCACATCCACATTCACACTAGCAGGTATACTTTTGACATCCTTATTAGGACTAGGTATTTTCTTGTGCAGAGGTTGGCAAGAGAACACCTTCCAACTCCAGAAAGTAGGAAAAACATAGTAACTAGCTCCTCTGAATGGACAGAGGAGGCACGGCTGAATAGACTTTTGAAGGAACATTTTTATCACTAAGTTATTTTAAAAAGGCTGCTTATCTCTTCCAGCTGGTGGATAGATTAATTTGAGTCAGCAACCTTCTTTCTTCCAATCCCTTTTAAGACATTTACAAGATAGAGAAATGCGTGATTAATCATTCCTGGATTGAAGTGAGTGAGTGAGTTTAGGATCCCACCTATGAAAATATTTTAAACATGCTGAATAACAGGCAAGTTGTATCAGCTCCATGGTATCTGTTTTGAAGAATTTAGCAATGCTAAGCACAGAATTGCCCATTTTAAACTTGCAGACATTTTTTTTTCCTATCAACTCTCTTTACTAGGTACAAAATGTAGATTTTTACAAGGAATATGTATTTCACAAAAATAATTTACACTTATTTAGAAGAAAATCAGAAAATATATTATTAGGAATTTATCTCTATATATAATGTTTGCACCAAAATGGGTTCGGTACTGGGATAACATATTCCAACAGCCAGGAAATGCAATGGACTGAAAAGATAAATGATGTAAAATGCTGAGTCTCTCTGTACTGTTCGAGCTGACCTATTTGCAACTATAGATACAATCAGGATTCTGTGCATTATATTAAAATATTGAAGTTGGATATATTTTCCAGTTTAAAAGAAAGTGTGGGCATTTTTCTATTATTCCAGTTGTTGTTATTCTTGTGCATCTCTTGCTTGCCTATGAGCAGCATGTATATCATATTAAACCCATTTTAATAACACTATTGCAGATCAGATTTGTTGCATCTCATGTAAGAAATATGAAAGATAAAACAATGACTTCACAGTGCCTTTTTCACTGTCCAGAACAGGATATTATTAGCTCCAAGTAGTAAAAGCCAAAACAAAATTAAATTAATTTAACAACATTTCTAAGTATTAGCAAAAATAAATGCAGGTTTAGTATTTGCAATGTGGAGCAAACAGCCTTTGAATTTGTACATAATGCAATAAAAAGTCAAAGAATTGTGTCTGTTTTCTAGTTCTGGTTGCTGGATGTTGCCCATAGTGCCTCTTGGGCATAGTCTGTGAACCCTCACCACACTTAAAAGTGGGGCTACCCTGTGTAAGTGGGAACTGTGCTAAAAGCAATATGGGCACTCAGAGAAACAGCACCCAAGTTCTTGTTTTGGTCCTGTGTGGTTAGTTAAGCTGCACATGCCCAGATATGACACTCTATGTTTTTCTGAGGGAATTTCAGGAACACAAGGTTTCATGTTGACTTGCTCCCCTCACTCCTGCTTCTTGGTTCTTTGCTCTGGACTCTTACACTGTCTTGGGTTCCAGCTGTCTACCAGGACTCCTGATAGTCAAGAGCTCCTCTTAGAGAAGGCTGAGGGAAAAAACCCAACTTGTAATGGTGGGGGTTTCCACAAAGAAGTGTGCTGCCTTACACACTATTACTGTACTTCAGCAGCATGCAATCAATATTCAAGCCTGAACATTTTATTCAAAACAATGAACTGGAAATATATCTGCACACACAGCACTGTAATCTGATGTTACCTCTTCAAGGGTCGTCTCATCCATACAACATGTTCTGCTCTATCAACAAATATTGCTATTAGTGTCCCTATGAACCTCCTCCCCCACCACATACGCTACTTTTAATTTGTCTTAAATGATTACCTGCATACTGACCACTTTAACTGTGAGAGAGATCTATCAAAAATACAAGTTAAGCAACATTTTTACTCCAAGGATCTCAGCACCTAAATTGCCATTTGTGACTTCATCTTTCATGTCACTAAGAAGATTCGTAACAGGGATTACTTTTCAGTCTTTTCCCTGCTGAAGGGAGAGAGCAAAAAAGGGGGAGAAACAATCCCCCCTTCGCGTAGTTCTTCTTTCTCCTCCGGCTGCCAGTTTTGACCTTGGAAGTCCCTTATTTCTTCGCTGGAATTTCTCTGCAGCGGTTTTTCGTCCAGGCAACCAGTCTTCTAAAGTTTTTTTTCTTCACTCTCTTACAAAAGAGAAGGGGGTGCTTCAGTGCCACACCTGCCCCTGGCCCAGGGCCGGGAGAGGAGGGGGCCTGGCCCTCCTTGGGCCCGCTGCCTTTTCTACATGGCTGCTGCCCCTAATTTTAACTGCGCAATCTACCTTCTCTTCCGTTTTCTTAAAGATGTAATTAGCAAAGGTGTTACTGAAAATTTTAATTGACTTCTTGTCCGGAAATTCACCTGGACAAAACCATTCTCAGCCCCAGGGGCTGGCTGGCTGGGCAAAACCACAACATTCACCATGGTCAATTTCTTGACCTTATTATATATTACATAAGCACTGAAAGTAAATGCTGGGAGCACATTTTTGTCTATTTCCTTACTCTAATGAACAAATTGCTGAGAAAATATTTTTACTCACTGTTACTTGGTGGCAAATAAAGTCCATTTATATTACGAGGTTTTCTGTGAAAGAAGTCACAGCTTATCCTCCTACAGCCTACGGGCTCTGTCTCCCAGAAACAGGAGAACTTGCTGTAGTTTTGCTGCCAGAGAAAACAGTTTTCAGGTATTGCAAGTATAACAGTCAAAAATAGACTAAATCAATTAGCACAATGCGAACACTGGACTGAGCATATGACAGTTCACACTGCTGTAAACATATGACCAAGATTTTGTGGGACTATGTTCTGATAGTTTACAACATTTCAAATTATCCTGAAAGTTATCTTAAGTTCCATATAGGTCTAAAGTTATCTTGAGTTAGGTCAAACAGGTTTTGATGATGTAAAACCCTTCCTAGATTAGAAGAGGAGTAAGGCAGTCTACTTAGTTTACTGCAGACTTTTCATGAGATAGTGGGAAGAAAAAAAATCTATTAGTCACTTAATTGACATGTGGTTGAGTTTTCTTTCCTGTTCATTGGGAAAATCAGATCAATCTCCAATTAAATGTGCTGTACAAGTGCAAATCTTACACTAGTACTGTCTTACTATTAAAAGACATGGGTCTATGGGGAAATGTGGGGTAAGAAACAAAACTCAGAAAGATTCCCAACAAAAAATTAAAAAGAAATGGAAATTGACACTATGAGACTGTTGCAATCACACTGCTCACCATCTTTCAGCTGTTTTTATAGATAACAAACAAAAGCCTAATGGGAATAATAACTCTTTACATGGATTTGATTAATTATTGTTTCTTTACTCATACATACACTGCTGATCTTTCTCTGTTGATCAATGTAGCACCAGCCAAAATGTCTGCATAAAACTGCAGAGATAGTACTTTCATGACAAATCACTTTTGTTAGAAATACATAAAATTATTGTTCTATATCACTGTCTTATTAAAGTTTACAGTTTTTAGCATCATCTCTGATGGTGCAATTCATTTATCCTTATAAGATGAGGTACCCTTCTCAAGCATATGATAAACTCGTAATTTCAAAGAGGCAAGTGCTCATGAACATTACCCTGGATATGTAAACTCAGGTTTATACCCTGGATGTGAATGGCATCTCAGCTGAGACCTGTAAATGCCAGGTTGGCAGTTACTTCTGAATTATTTTTTTGTGTCATTTTTTAAACATAAACAAAGCCACACTTGAAAATATTAGAATATTGGGAGGTAGGTTTCTCCCAGTTCCAGATATTAACAGCTTTGTCTAGGAGCAACATCTCCAAAACTTTTGGAATGTAGTCACTACAACTGGGCCATCCCATGAGACACACTGGGATCTGGAGTCAAAGCCCATCTCCCTGGCATTAACCCCTAAATCACTGACCCTTAAAAATGGATGCAATAACCAGGAGCCCATACCCACCCCCAGATTTTACCAGGTGGAATGTAAGTATTTCTTTGAATTAAAGCTATGCTATCAGCTGTCGGGAAAATCATCATCTTATCCTGAAAGCAGTAGTTTTCCTTCAAATACTGGACCTTCAGATGAAATGAAACTCAGATGGACAGTGTAGCTAAAACAAAAGATAGCTGAGTGAAGCATGTGGTACCTTCTCCATGTGGTTGAACTGTTGAACTGAACTGAAAGCAGTTGTTAGCCAGGATGGAATGTTACATTTTGACAGTTGCCAACTGCTCCTCTAGCTTGGGACATCAGCATGATGCTGCTACATGATCTGTCCAGGCTGAACATCTTCCTTTATCTCCATTGTTTCCAAAAATGTATAGAAAAACTGTTTCAAAGTGTCTCCCATTCTAGTGCTTCCTTAGTGTAAAATGGAAAAAAAAAAACAAACAAACCAACAAACAACAAACATTTAGTGGTGCTTAAATAATACCCAACTTCTTGTTGATGGAACTATGGTCTTGGAAACAAATCTTTGACACCACAAAGATACCACAGCCTGCTGGGCAACAGCAGCCAGAGAGAGGAGTGAGAGTTTATGTAGGAACCCTTAGGACCAAGCTCAGGGAAGGAGAGGGAGAAGGGACTCCTGGCACTGGAGCAGATTCTCTCCTGCAACCCACGGTGCAGACCATGGGGAGGCACCTGTGCCCCTGCGGCCCATGGAAGTCCACGGTGGAGCAGAGATCCACCCGCAGCCCGTGGAGGGCCCCGCACCGGAGCAGGTGGGTGTACCCTAAGGAGGCTGTGACCCTGCGGAGAGCCCGCGCTGGAGCAGGCTCCTGGCAGGACCTTGGACCCATGAAGGGAGGAGTGGGAGCTGCGGCGGGGCAAAGCGAAGCTGTCCCTTGGCCTGGGCCGGGCAGGAGCCACCAGGGAGCGGGCCGCGCCGCCGCCCCTCGGCCGCTGCGCAGCGCGCCAGGCGGCGGCGGGCGGACTCCATTTCCCGTGGCGCAGCGCGGCCGGCGCGGCGCAGACGCGCTGCGGGAGCGGCCGCGGCCATGAGGCGGCGGAGCGCGGTGCAGCGCAAGGTGCCCTGTCTGTTCGTCACCGAGGTGAAGAAGGAGCCGTCGGCCAAGAGGGAGCGCCAGGTGCCCGGGGCGGCAGGGGACGGGGGAGCGGGAGGCAGGCGGACGGGGCTGGGCACGGAGGAAATCGCTGGGCCGCGTGTTGTCACAGCACCGACCGAGTCAGGGCCGCCCGGCCACTGCTGAGTGGCGACAGGTTGGGCTGCAGGTTCTGAGCGAAATGCACGGTAGCGGTTCTGCCCCTGAAATGCAGGGAAGAAGGGCTGTTTGGGTGCCGTTTCAGCTCAGCCCCACGCATTTCCTGACAGGTACATCCAGGTGTTGGCCCTGATGTTGTGCTTGCTTTTTCTAAGTGAAGGCCGCTCCTACGTGACCTCACTGGGAGCCTATGTAAAACCACCCTGCCATCCCCGCCTGTGGGCCTCGTAGGGAAAAAAAGGAGCTTGTCTATTTTTTTGTTTTGTTTTGGTTTTTTGTTTGTTTTCGTTTTGTGGTCGAAGGAATATCAGGCTTATGACAGAATAATTAATTTGAGGCTGCGAGACGTGGACAGGTTGGGGTGGCATTCACCTGACCAGCTGGAGATCTCCAGCTTTTGTTTCCTGGTTTTAGTAGCAGCTGCGTAGTGAACTTGAATCCAGCTGGGTGACTCACTCCCATTGGCGATTGACTTCTGGACCAAAGAGCTGCAATGGTTGCCAAAAGGACAGTAATGTAATTGTTCAGCTCAGAGTACCAGCACCATCAATAATGGTCATGTAAGGGTACATCCCTACACTGTTGTTCCTTCATACAGGAAAAGTGAACAGGGTATTAGATCTGGAACTGGCACACACTATTTTGGGTTTTTTTTACAAAGTTCAGGCAAGGATAAAATGTGGTTATGACTGGTAGGGAAGAAAGGAAGTGGTAGTGCTGATAAAACCAATGGGATTGTTTTGTCACTACCCTGAAATTTTTCTTTATCATGTAGTCTTCATAAAATCTTTATATATGCTGTAATGGTTACTGATTTATAACTAAAATACAAAACAGACATGTAACAAAAGCTTGTAGAAAGTTCTTATTTTATGAATTCTACAGTCTGCGTCAAGACTTCTGCAAGACAAGGACTTGCTTTGTGTCCACTGAAAAAGACAGTGCCCGGCTTAAAAGATAAAGTTGACTGGGGAGAGAAGAAGGAAGGATGAGGATTGTAGAGCATAAGATTTGAATCCAAACACAACTGCTTGCATGCTTGTAGTGAAACTGTTAGAGAAGCTGTAAAATCCTACTAGAAATTTCTATTAGTTGGCTGTTTGTTTCAGATCCACAGATCATGTATTTCTTTGCTCTTTTGAAGCGCAGAAGTATTTCATTGATAGCACTGATACTAAGTATTTAGTATCAGGATTCTTTGGCCACCATTCTTTTGACCACTGCTCTGTGTATTGCACTAACGTGGTGCTATTGACTCTCATCTCCAAACTGAAAGTTCGGGAGAGCTAGTCATGAGGAATTTCTATTGCCATTCTAATACAGGAAAGCACATCTTAAACTATTGCAGCGTTGGACTGGAACCCTTCTAGTTTATATGCCCTATTTAAAGTGGAAAGCAAAATCATCTTTAAATAGTAATCAAGAATGGGAAAGGGGGAGAGAATTAGCAAACAGATTGCCTTGGTTGTCCTGTCTTAGAGCATTTTCCAAACTCTCAAGTTCTGAAGAAACAAGGGTGTGTGTCGATAAGTGTTAGATATCAGTAGAAGTCAACTGTAAGGAGCCCTATGAGAGCAAGGCAATAACGTAGCCACTTGTCTTCTTTTCAGCCATTTAAAGTTTTGGCAACTGAAACTATATCTGGAAAGGCGTTAGCAGCAGATATACACAATGCAATTCCTACTGAAAAGGTGGACGGAACGTGCTGTTACGTAACTACATATAAAGGTAATAAGGAAGACCCGTATGCAGATTCCTCATGCTGACTAGAAGCCTTACTTTACTTAGTTTCTACTGTCATGGTATGATGTTTATTTACAGCTGTTTTGAATTCAGCTGTCATGAAGCATCTTGACCACAAAGTAATAGTTACTGTAGACTTAGGAGGTGTTTCTGACAGGTGTTACAGATTTTAGTCTCTAAAATACATGAAGTATGGTTTAAGTGAACATGACAATCCAGGAACTATTCCAGTTTTAAAATGTCCTAGTAGTAAGTCTTCCTTGCACACTGGGACTTGTATAACAGTGTCTAATTTCCTTGGGGAGGATTAATAGAATTATGGAGTTGGGGTGGAAATGAGAAGACTGTGATTTACTGTATCACTGGGGTTCTTGCCTTTCCCTGAAATTGTAAGAAACTTTGTATTACAGTAGGCAAGACTATATCTAGAATCTAAAATAGATTTTTAGATTCACATACTGTAATTTATGGCTTTAAGTAGCAGATTAGGATATAAAATTTCTCTAGTGGCAATTGACAATTCTTGCCTGTTACACAGTTGATTTCAGTACTCTGCAGGGTGTGGTTACCTCAGTAACCTGCTGGTTTTCTCTCTCTGGAAACTCTAGGGCGACCCTATCTGTGGGCCAGGCTGGACCGAAGACCCAACAAACAAGGCGAAAAAAAGTTTAGACAATTCTTGCATTCACTGAAAGATTGCAAAGGTCTGTGAAGATTTCTTTCCTTCTTTTTGGCCAAGTAAGTTAGCCAGTTGGAAAAATTAGTCTAACACAGGAAATGTCAGTGATCCTGCTCCAATTTGTTTAATGTCACTCTTTACTTTGAGAGAGCTTTAAACTAGAATAGGTAGCTGTTTTTTTACTCTTAGTTAGTTTTTGAACTTGTAAACTACTTGAAGGCTACATGCTTCTTTAAACCATCCTAATTGTAGACAACTTGAGTGCGACAGATGTTGGTGCTTGTATGAAGTAACTGGGACTACTGTCTGTAAAACAAGGTTTAGATCAATGATATTTTAATAATTGCATTGAAAAACAACCAAAGCAAAACTGACTAACAGTTTGCTGAAAACTAAACGTCACATTTCTGTGTCTAGAATTTGAATGGAATATTGAAGAGGATTTCAAGCCTGTTCCAGATACCTGGATTCCAGCAAAGGACTTAGAGTTCTCTAATGGCAATCCTTTGCCTGATGAAAATGGACATATGCCAGGTACCTATGATGCAGCACAGGTGAAACTGGGGGAGTGGGTGAGGGTGTGTGAATTTTGAAAAGAATTAGAATTAGTTCCAGTTAAAAATAGTAGTTAATGTATTAAAGAAAAAAGAATTGTAATGTCATTCATTCACTATCCGGGAAGGCATAATTGTCACTTTTTTTTTTTTTTTTAATGCATGTACAGGTCTAGTGCACACTTAGTAACTTGAGATGTTTACTTTGGTAAAATGCAGTGTTTTCTCATAGGTTGGGTGCCTGTGGATAAAAATAACAAGCAGTATTGCTGGCACTCATCTGTTATAAATTATGAAGCTGAAATAGCACTGGTATTGAAACGCCATGCTGACCCAGGGCTTCTGGAAATCAGTCCGGTGCCATTATCAGAACTTCTAGAACAAACATTGGAGCTTATTGGGACTAATATTAATGCAAATCCATATGGTAAGTTTGTATGGTCTGTGCTTAAATACTTTTTCTGTTTAGTGCTATTTTTGAGTGAAAACTATGCATTTTCTTTGTGTAAATTTTTTTTAAAAGTTCTCTGGTAGCAACCTTCTTAGAAGAGAGAGAAAGGGCTAGGTGAAGAAAGCCATCCAAAAATACCTTAGAAAGCTTAGTTGTCATGGAACCTAGTTATCTCTATTAAACCTCAGTTGCTATAAAAATGCTTTGCTTTAGTCTTTCAAAAAATAATTTGACTGGAAAAGCTGTTTTAAATATTACTATTAAGATACTAAAATAACTTTAATATTGTTTCTTGGTGCCTTTTCTTCACTTTTATTACTTGCTCTTCTGATGCTGTTTAGTCCTTCGAAGTAGAAAATTTTATTCAACCATTTTTAGAGCCCCTAGACTTAGTCATAAGTTGCAGTTTTTAAATTATGAAAAAGGAATTTTTTTTTAAGGAAATGTAATTTAAGCTAAATTTTGGTTGTGGCTTCTTCCTTTAAAAGCCTTGTAACAAAAAATCATTTGGGTATGAGCACAAGTGAGTTCTAATGTCAGAGCTTTGCTGTCAGGATAACTTGCAAGGATAGTCATATCTGGTCTAAGCATTTTCCCAGTATGTAAAAAGAACTGCAACAAAAAAAATCTAGTAGCTGTATTCTTAGATGAAGATTTGTGTTGAACAGTCAGTGAGGAGGAAATGCAGTTGTTAACAGCCTGGCTTAAGTATTCATCCATATTCATGAGAAGGTGTGCCAGATTTTCTGGAACTAAGATGTTTGTGCCATTGACTGTGATCTGAAGTGTGAAAACTAGCCAGTAGCAGTATGGTTACTGAGGAGGTGACCACAAGGACAAAACATACAACTGTATAAATCTCTGTGTCATGTTTATTTTATTCAAAGGAGGAGGAGATTTTAATAAATAATTATAAATTAAAACGTGAGGATAGACAGCTGCATTTGATACTTAAAAATACACTTAACTGTTTTGTTAAAGGCAGGATGATGTTGTAGTATCTAATAGAAAGCTACAGAGTAGTTTTAAGAGAGTCACAGTAACAAATATGAGAAAAATTTTAAGGTATCATGTGTTAACTACCAGGAATACATTTGTTTCTTTAAACATAGGATTAGGAAGCAAGAAGCACCCTGTACATCTTCTGGTACCACATGGAGCATTTGAAATAAAGAATCCACCTACTTTAAAGCCAAATGACATACGGTCTTGGTTTGAAAGCTGCAGTGAGGGTAAAGCTGAAGGAATTGTGTGGCACTGCCATGATGGGTGTTTAATCAAGGTAAATATAGGGATAGACCTGTGAAAAACACTGCAATAATTCACAGTATGAGAAGTATTGTGAAGTACTCATTTTTTGTGTCTTTTCCAAGTTTTTTATTAAAAAACGTTCTCCATCAAATGAGATGAGAGTAGAATTAGTTAAGCCACTGAATCACTGCAATGATGACATTGAACACTTTCATTCCCAACGTTATGCTAACAAAGTAGTTGAGAACATAGTATTTTCTTGCCTCTCTGTATAGGAATCATTAATTTTAAAGCTTAATTATTTTATTTAAAAATTAATTTATTGTATTGATGACTTATGGAACAAGTATTATTAATAAGAATGTGGTTTTTTGTAATTAGCACATTTGTGTTATTTCTGAAACTGTAGACGACACTTTGGTTCTGGTTTGTCTTCTGTGTGTCGTTGTTGCTCATATTATTCAGAAAACTGATTAATGGTTTTAAGTGCCCTAATGCAGAGGATCCTAGAATCTGCACATACCCACACACCCCCTAAGCTGGAAGTTGTTGTGTTGCTCTATCAAAATTGCTGAACTGATCTTCTTTCTTTTTATTTTAGCTCCATCGCCATCATCTTGATTTACCCTGGCCACTTGCAGAGACATACCTGAATTCTCAGCCTGTTGTAATTTCTTTTAATAGAAGTAAATATGAATGTGACTTTGAACCAAAGAGTTTGTTTCACCATTTCTCAAACTTAGATGGTCAAAGATTTGACAGACTCAAAGATGTAAAGTTTGATGCTTAAAATGATTTTCTGCTTTTAAGTTGATTGTCCTGTGTGCTGCATTCCTCTTACCTGTGTCTACCACAGAATTCTTAAGAAATAATCTTCTAGCTTAGGCAACAGCCCAAGTACTGTACTATTTTAAGTCTGTCTTAAATGACTAATTTTAAATAATAGAGATCTGACAGCCAGAGCAGAGTTCTATCTTCCAGCATGTTTACTTTCTTTTCTGAAAAATCCTTTTTTGAACACATTTCTGGAAACTGTCAACATTAAGTGTAAGAAGTATGTTTATCACTGGTTGGTCCTAAAAGCTTAGCCAATGAACGCAATCACATGGAAAAGTCACACAGGTTGCACTTCTAAAAGTATAACTGTTATGACACTATTATATATAGGATTCTGATTTAGGATCTAGTTTCTTTACAGTAAAGAACATATTTCTGATGGGACCAGAATTTGTCTAAAATTTGATAACTTTTTTTTAAAGTAGTAACAGTTTATTATAGGGCAAAACTTTTCCCTGTATTATTTAACATAAACATTATGCTATTACTTGAAACCCCAATTACCCTCTATCCTGTAGGCACTTCGACTATTTTGGGACAAAAAGAGTAAATAATAGAAAGTATACTAGTTTTATTTTGGAGATCCTTAGTACTTGGAGAGAGACATGGCTTAATAATTTTCATTTACAACTGCATCTCAATTAAGAAACTTCGTCAAGGGCATATTAAGTACAATAAAGCATATAAATAATAAAGGTGAGACTGAATGATTTTTTGAGTTGGCTTTATTTTGTGTCTCCTATAAAAGTATACATCCAGCTATATAAAATATACAAAATGAAAAATCAATTATGTACAAAAATACCATTGGTTTGGCTGAAATACTTTAGTTTAATTTTCAGTTCTTTGTTCTTGGGTTTTTTTAAATTGAGGTAAAAATAACCAGGGATGTAAAAACAGACATCCCACATACTGACCCTGAGTTCAGAGTTAAACAGTATGGTCAGATGAGACAGCAAGTGCAAATTATCTGTTCCTATTAATCTAGAATTTAGCACATTTAGCTAAGTATGCTGACATTTTAAGAGTTTCTCAACTTCTAGGATAAGCCCAAGGTTTCAACTTTACCTGAAACCTGTGTATTACCCAATTTAACTGTTCTGAAATAAAATGTGATACTGCAAAAGAGCTAGGAGAGGTAAAACTCACTTTTATTTTGACTGGTATATATAAATACTGACCATGAACTGTTGACTAATTCAATTCTGCATTCTTAGGTGTGTGCAAATGTAACTTTAAGAGACTTGTATTATTCCAAGATAATCACATACAAATGAGCATTACGTAACTGCTATGGAATTTATTTTTTGTATCAACGTTGAGAATACTAAACACTAGCCTAATCAACAGCTGTGTTGCCTGGACTACGCACTTGAATGCCAAACTCTTCAGAAAGCTGCTTCAACTTCTCTTCTAAGAGTATATTTTTTTTCACTTCTTCATTATAGTTATATTTCAGATCCTCAAGTTCTTCAAAAAAGGAAGGGTCATAGTTTTCTAATTCTCTTCTCAGGTTTTTTGTCTCTTCCTATTGAAAAGAATGAAGGAGGACCACCTTTATCAAGAACTTTGTTAATATAGCACAACAGCTTTTTTGCCTTTGTCTTGAGAGGTTAAATGATGAGATAATAAGGAAGTTATCTAGAGACAAACTCTACCCATAAAACACCACATTCTCTAAAAACAAAACAGGCTTTGTAAACACAATGTTTTGAAATTGACTTGGTCATTAAATATTAATTTAGATATTAAATGGCTCTTTCTAGCTAACCATAATTAGCTAGATATAACCATAATTTCTAGCTAATCATACACTCATTATCTTGCCTAGGATGATCCTTGCAACTCACCTTTAATTGCTGTTTTTCCAGCTCTAGGGCTTTCAGCTGTGCCTGGAGGTCAGCTGTTTTATCCTTCTCTACAATTTCATTATGTCCTGTAAAAATAATGATGATTTTTTAATAAAATTTAAAGTCAGGAATATCCACAGCACAAATAATCTTGTTTGAGTAGTTTTGCATCTCCTGAAAACTGAAACAGTTGAAGGGTGTAAACCCAGCTGGGATCACAAAAATTCAAGTCATCTGGGCTTTTCCTTAGTTCTTGTAAAAATTAGTGTTGTCTAGTTCCTGTGATTGAATGCAGTAATCCAGTGGCCCAGTATGTTTTAGCACACTTCTGAGAAATATGATGCGTACACTTTCTGAATTAAGTGCAGAAAGTCTGGAAATAACAGGATCTTGTTATGCTTATTCTTAATTTCAAGAAGGTTAATTTGTTTTGTTTTTTTTCTTCCAGTCATATGGCAATGTGCTGCTCTGTAGTGCTCTGCTTTTCCCATGGGGTGGATGCCTGCTAAATCTTAAGTTATTCACAGAGCTGGTATCTGGAAATAGGCACTCATTCTTTAGCAGCTTGGAACCCAAAGCAAAAGAATATTTTAGTGAATGACTGATATCTTACAAATAGTCTTTTGAGGCTAATAAAGCAAGTGGTGGCATGAACTACACATCTTGTGAGGGGAAAAGTCATACGAAGGTTACAGTCTCTTGCTCAAGATAATTGATTATGGAGATCTTTACTAAGAATTCTCTACAGAAGCCTTGTATATGTACTCAAAAATCCAAGGCCTTAGTCTGCTCCAGTTTACACTGTTTTGGCATTAATCTAAATCAAATAATTCTTTATATTTATTATCACTTTGCACAAACATATTAAGTAAAAATAGTTTTAGGCCCCAAATAGAGGAAGATCCTAATTTTAGGTATTGAAAATTATTACCAACGGCCGGATCTTCACTTGTATAGGTGTGTCTGTGATGCTTATAATCCTCCATCTGCTGCACTAGTTCTGCTTTTTCTTCCTCTAATCGATTATTCGTTACTCTGGAATATAAAATAATTTAGAATAATTTTTTAAAATTACTAAAATATATTAGGACTTTAACTAAAAATTTGCAATAGGCATTTCTTGGTCATTCTTATTTCATGTATTTTGGCTGAGGTATTTATTTATTTAGAAGTACATTACCTTAAAAGCTGGAGTTCCCTGATGAGACTTTGCTCTGTCCCTGCACCTTCAGGAAGGTATTGGAGAAGCTTAATCTTAAAAGAAAAATTAAGGAAGTTTTAGTCTTCAAAACAATATCCATGAACAATGCAGTTCAGACAAAGTTCTCTTGGACCCAGGATAAAAAAAAGGAATGAAAATAATACTAAAGATGGTAACCAAGTACTAGGTTATCAAAAAAAAAAGAGAAACCAAGTGTTCGTCTACTGACAGTTTCCATGAAGCTAATTCTCAGCAGCCTTTTCAAAGTTAGCCATAGATCATTGCTACATACTTCATGAAGGATGAGGAAAAAAGTATTCAGAAGTTAGATTTACAAAGAAAGTTGGACACATAGCTACAGCAGCATAATTTATTCATATGCTTAAGGAAGTGATATCTCTAAATCGTTAAGTGCTTTAAAAATACTACTGACGTACTTGTCAGCATCCCTAGGTGTTCAAGTTCCTTTTGAAAGATAATATGAAAACCCAAATGAATGTACATTGACTAGGTATGACCTGCAGTCATTAAGTTAGAATAGGTCCCTGACCAGAGCGGGAACGAGCCTCTAGAAGTGCCTTTTGGTAAAGATGCCAAAGCAAAAAAATTAGTGTTCTAAATAGAAGATAATATGCAGTTTATGAATGCAGTGACAATTTATGAACCCTCATGAGGTTACTGTTAATGTTTGTTCTGTTTCTGCATAAAATGGTAAGGATCTGGGTACCACATAATGAAAGATTTTTATCTCTGAGTTAATTTTGCTGCTGGTATACACTTCATGTTTATAGCACTGACATTATAGAAAAGGGAAACAAAGCAACAATTAACCAAATGTTTATTTTTTCAGGAATCAATTCCAATTTCTATTTATTGAATTTATGTAATCTACTTTATTACATAATATACATATGAATTCCCACACTGTAAGTTTTGTATTTGATACCTTACACTGAAAATGGCCAGTACGAGACCATTGTACAGTGTGGGGAAGAAACCACATACATATTAATAAATGAGAAGATGCAAGCTGACCTAGGTGAATAGTCCTAGGACTGCATCTCTGAAGTACTTAAAAGCCACAATGTGGTACATCTTTTGAAAGGTACCTGAGTTTTAAAATTCATCAACTCTTCCACACATTAAATAGTATTTGAAAGACTTATGAGAGGCTACATGTCTTTAAGAGGCCGTGTTGGAAACAAATCAAGATCCCATTTAGGATGCCTAAGTCAATCTCCCACTGCTCCCCTGAAAACCTGGAAGGAATAGAGAAGTCCCTGCAGCAAACTTATTCTACAGAACAAGCTTGAAAGATTTTAAGACCATTTGAAGTATCTGTACTTACAGGCTTTCATGTGATCAGTGAAACTATAGTAAAAAAAGGCCTACAGAAGAACATAGCAGAAAAACATAGTTTCCCCCTAAGGCTGCAAGTCAAGAATATATATTGATAATATGTGGTAAACATCATTAATTGGCTAAAATATGTAAATATATTTGAAGCAACTACGAAAAAAGTGTAAGAGGATTAGAGAAAAAATAACTATTCTGCCACTATGGACATTAGAAAGACATAAATGAATAGTAAGCATTCTATTCTCAGAGTCATCTGGCTAAATTTTACTCACTTGTTCTTTTAAATCTTGTAAATTTTTATCAGCATTTTGTTCACGTTCTCTTGCTTCCTGAAGCAGCCGTTTAAGGTCAGCAATGCTTTGGTTTTTTTTAGCAATATCCATTTCCATTTCCTTCAACTTAGTTTCATGCATCCTGGTAGTAGTTTTATTTAGAAAAAGAACAGAAAAAGAGATTTAAATATCTTTACGAGAATAAATACCATAAAATATACCCTAAAATACGCTTGGGGCATTGGCCTTGAAAATAATTACTGGTCTTATAAATACAGTGTGCTGAAAGAAGCATAATGAAAAATACATATTTAATCTCAGAATAAAGGCTTTTCCAGATATTACACTTCTGTGGATCTTTCTTTGTGTCTACATTTTATTAAGGGGTGATGGGAATCTTTTCATGCTATTGCACATAAACCCTAAACTACTTCCTGCTAAAAGGATGCCTGTTATTGATGCAGTGCGTACACTGGTTGGGTCTTACTTCAGTGTTGTACCTTTGGCAGTATTTTTAATAATTTATGGAAAATATTTACCAAGAAAAGGGCTAATACAGATGCAGAAGATGAAGACTCCAAGGGCAAAACTGTTCTACAATAAATTAGTTTACCCTGTATTAACAGAAGTCTGAGAATGAGTCCGTTTTGCTTTCAGCTGTACAAGGCTACAAAAAGGTTTGTGTAGAATCCAAAATGTTGGAAGGTGTCTCTGGAGATCATGTAGTCCAGTCTCCCATCTGAAGTGATTATCAGATAGCAAACATTTTGCTCCATGTCAAAGAGCCTTCTGAAGGGTCCCTTGGACGACACCTCTTTGCCCTATTGAATACTTTTTGTTACCACATACGTGCTTTGGAACATGTGCTGGGGAGGTGGATTGCATGTTAAAGTGCCTCAAGCAGCTCCTCTGGATTAGTAATTTCTTAATGTTATTAACTTACTTTACATTCATGTTAAATTAAATGCACATAAAAGATTTTATTCACAACCTGAAAAAGGCAACTACAGTTAGCACAACCATGTATT